GTGGTCTGTAACTGGTACTCCTATTCAAAATCGCCTAGAGGACCTTTTCTCGGTGACCAAGTTCCTTGGTTTGAATCCCTACGATGACAGAGGGCAGTTCGGGATGCACATTCTGAGTCGATTTAAAACCGGGGATGCCACAGTTCTAGCAAGCTTGCGTGTGCTTGTAGACTCATTTACACTGCGCCGTGTCAAGGACAAGATCGACATCCCTACCCGGCACGACAAGATCATAACGCTCAATTTCTCTGAGAAGGAGAGGCAGCTGCATGAATTCTTCCGACGAGAATCAAACGTGATGATGAAAGTAATTGCCGGCGAGGATAAGACAGCACTGAAAGGTCGGATGTATCATCATATCCTAAAGGCAATGGTAATTTTACGACAAGTCAGTGCCCACGGTAAAGAGCTTCTCGACAGTAATGATCGCGCAAGGATTAAGGGGTTGAGCGTCCATGACGCCATCGATCTCGAAGAAGGCGGGAACGATGCACCGGAGCTGGTAGATAAAAAAGCATACGAGATGTTCACCTTAATGCAAGAGTCCTCAGCAGATATGTGTGCCGTATGTGGCAAACGCCTCGAGGACCCAAATACTGATTCCGGTACCACGGACCGCCAAGTACCAATGGCGATCATACTTCCTTGCTTTGATGTACTTTGCCCCGACTGTTTCTCTGGTTGTAAACAAGCGTTTGACAGCCAAACCGGGCCGTCAGTTCATGACATCAAATGCCAGGTCTGCGATGGATGGATCCCTGTTTCATATTCCACCATCACCCCTGGAGGGCTACAGGACTATATGATGAGCCAGGCCCAGGCCAAGCAGAGCAAGAAACAAGCAAAGACCCTGGGAGAGTACGAGGCCCGCACACGAAAACCAAGGCGCTGGTGGCGTATCTATTGGAGTCGGCGGATGAGAGCAAGGGGTTAGGGGACGAACGTCCTATCAAAAGCGTGGTGTTTTCTGCGTGGACATCGCATCTGGACTTGATCGAGATTGCACTAAAGGACAATGGCATCACCGGCTTTACCCGTCTGGACGGGACGATGACCCTATCAGCCCGCCAAAAAGCCCTTCAGGAGTTTCACGACAATAACAACATCACTATCCTCCTAGCGACGATCGGGGCTGGTGGCGTCGGTCTCAACTTGACCGCTGCATCTCGAGTTTATATCATGGAACCGCAATACAACCCCGCAGCCGTGGCACAAGCGGTTGATCGAGTGCATCGAATCGGGCAGACGCGCGAAGTGACTACAGTACAGTTCCTAATGAAGGATAGTATCGAAGAGAAGATCTTCGAGCTGGCCAAGAAGAAGCAGCAGTTGGCCGATATGAGCATGAACCAGAGGAAGCTTGATAAGAGAGAGGTGCAAGAGCAACGGATGCGTGAATATCGGAGTTTATTCAAGTGATACTAATACCCTTTTTTACGATTCCCCTTTTTATTCCCGGCATCTCAAATTTTTTTTTTTTTTTTCCCTTTTCGTTTTTCCTACCTGCTTCCACCTTGATGTGCACACCATAGAGACGGACACTGCAATTGATACAAACATGGATAATACCTGATACCCAATGGTTTACACTCGGCGTTAATATATCCCCCGTGGTTTCACATTTTTTGGCTGGCGCTTGCTAAGAACACAGAAGAACTTATACGGCATTGGTAATACACGGATAAATGCAATATAAACACTTTGTTCGTTCCAGAAAGGGTTTCTTCTACTAGATATGGACATCAGGAGCATAATTGTCCTGCAGTCGTAAGCAATTCGAGTTTTTATATCACTGGTAACTCGTCGGTTAAGTGGTACATAAGGATTGGGTATTATCGGCCGTATCCCTTTAATACCGTATGGCGATGAAGAGGGCGCGCTCGCGGATCAAATCAAAGAGGGGTTAGCCAAGAGCTCGGCTGTAGGCTTGCAGGTATCCAAGACAACAAGTCAAGGGCTACTGAGTATGGAGCAGGCGTGGCCAAGAAATATGAACAGAATAAAGAGAAAACAATACCTCAATAGCAGGCGATGGAGAGAGAAATGAAAAAACAAAAAAGGTGTGACAAGGACGGGATTCGAACCCGCGAAGTTTCCCACTGGTGATTGGTGAAGACCTAAAACCAGCGCCATAACCACTCGGCCACCTTGCCTTGCTTGTTAGTAATGGGTCTAACTAATTGATATAATACTGGAGTAAAACTAACTCTAAACCGTTTGTTTTTAACCCTAAGTCAGTGATTTGTTCCCAACCACAACACGTCTCAACGTTTATTATGCATACCAATTTCATAAATCATTTATTAGTTACCATGTAACCTGGCTTATGTTCTTCATGGCAGTATCTCTGGATGTACAGGGTGACTCCCGGCCGAGTTTGATTGCTTCAAGCTTTTCATCGTTAAACATATATATTTGTCAGGTTGGAGTTTAGTGCGAACACACCCAATATGCTCTATACTTGGAACTGTTGAGGCATGATAATGGTAGTGGAGGTTGGTCGGTATGATAGCACACAGGTAATGCCACATGTGCTACCTGCAGAGCAATATTGTAGCGGGAAAAGGAATTTTGATTCATTTCTCCCCGTGGGCTCCTAAGCGGAGCTGAATTATCACGTAAAGCTGCTCCGGCCGTTTCTTGGACAAAATTAAATGTTTTAATCATAACACCAATTTAAACATTTCTCTTCTTCCTGTTTACAATAACAATAACACAGATGCGTCTTTCCAGGAGTTTATAATAGAAATATAAAAAGGTGAGATGTCCTCCGCACACAAATGGAGGTTGACCGATTGAGTACCCCCAGGAATGTTCCCTGGTCGTGTCCTATGATATATTTATAGTACAGCTTTCACGACATACCTGGACTATAAGGAGGCAATGGTAGGCTGAGAAGACGGAGCAAATGGGTGATATGAGCCTCCAGGTCGGCTATGAGCTTTTGCTCTTCCCCCCTCAGCCCCGTCCCAGGAACCGTCAGAGTCTTGGTAGTTATTTGGTTGTCTGTCTACATGGGCTTCCCAGGCAAGGTTCCACGGATTCTCACTTTGACTAATATATGTGTGACCATTTCTAGTCCTGTTAATACTACACGAAGCTATGTCAAGATGACTATATTGTGATATATATGCGGTATAAGGCGAAGAGAGTGGAACCAGGAGAAACTTAGGCTTTACTGCATTTATCGAGTTATGTCGAAAATGCTACCCGAACCGATCAAGGCCTGAATAGATTAAACTATATTAAGTTGATAATGACAGCTACTAGGCTGTATTACAACAGTGCCCGAAGCGATCAAATCAAGTTCTGGTAGTAGGACTTTCATTCTACCTTTATCCACGGGTAGGCGAAGAATACAGACATAGTCAATGTCCCCGAGGTCAGCGGAGAGTGCTCTCGAGTCTTATAAAGGTTCAAATCCAATTGAGGGGCTTTGCCTGCTCATCATCTCCGCGCTTGATCCAGTTTAGAGGCTCATCATCCTCGGGTTTATCACGTCTAATCCAGTTTAAGTGGCTCGACTTGGTCACCATCCCCACGCTTAATCCAATTAAGGGGTTCAACCTGCTCAACATCCCCGCGTTTGATCCAATTGAGCGGCTTTGGATTGTTGGAATAATCATTGCTGGATTTGCTTGCCGTACCGTACAGATCAATTAGGATCCTTGACAAGAATTAACATTGGGAAGTAAACAACGAACGAGGGGATGGGCCTTGGTAGATAATTGGGGTAGAGTGCTTCCAAGCATTGGAATGAATAGACGACATGGCCAATAGACACCTTAGTACATCATTCTTCGGATGTCGCAACGCAGATTGATGCATGCATGTCCTGGGTTGTATGGATGTAGGCTCGGGCACTCCACACAGCCCTAGACCGCTCCGTAAAAATTCCCGATGGACCGAACTTCTTTGTTTCCAAGGGCACCAGATGCTGTAGAGGATAGTCCAATGTTTACGGTACGTCGAACGCGGTCTCGTCATAACGTTTTCGGACAGGAGATCCACCTTATCCTGGGCAGCATTCTCTTCTGAATGCACCCGCTGCATAGTAGACGTTTTGCCTTTGAGAAGGCAGCGCCCACTTCAAGAGTTTTTGATATCCTGGCATTTTTGCAAAGACGAAGCTCAGGCTTTACAGAGACAGACAATTTCGAGACAGATTTCTCGTTGAGCAGTGGAAATTGAACGCATATGGTCAGCCAGCTGGAAGGAGGACAACGGGCACAGCGGGGGTGGTATGAATGCTGCATCAGGCTCAATCTGTCACGCTGCTCGTTCTATCTTGGCTCTTGCAGCAGTAGCCAACGGAGATAACCGAAGTTACATGACAGCAAACCCCGGTAAGCACTTGCAGACATTGCGCGATTCCCCCCCTCGTGATGTTGGTTGTGATGCAGAACTCTCCAAACCCTAGGCTATCAATTGCTCCTTTACGAGGACTTCTCGAATCCCTTGACCTCCAACTTCCAAAGATGTCTATTATTGCACCCCGTTCACAGAGACTTTCACCTTCACCCTCTGTGAATGAGAGGAGAAATATGAGTTGAAGTCTGGGAACGCCATACCCGATGATTATGTTGATCCGCGTGTTGTCGACCAAGGGAGACGCCGCGCGTTCTGCCGTCAGTACGTGATTATCGTAATATGCCTCCTGATGGAAGGGATTATGAAGTCGCCCTGTGGCCATACCGCTGCTACGATGTGGAACTATCGGACTCCTTCGAGAAGTTGGTTGACTGGAAGTAGTGCCTTGACTGGAACACGACGCAGCCAGTCCCCAAGGAAGAAGCCCTGCAGGGGGAATTGGATGGACTGTATGTAAACCCCCGTATACTACTAGTAGTAATCCCGGATTGAATCCATGCAGGGATTCTTTGTCCAGGCAGCATCGCGGCGCGTCATCGCCTTGGCGAGCCTGATTTATTATTTTTACGTCTTCCCCAGGAACCCATCGCATATCTTAGACATCACTCTTCCCCCGCACATCCGGAGAAATGGCCAACGATTCTACCGTCTCCTGGGCAGAGGACGCCTTCGGACCGGCCAGTCACGTGCGTGGGTTTGACTTCACGGTGACCTTCGAGCAGGTGGTCCTGTCGATTATCCCATCCACAGTCTTGCTGCTGGCAGGACCACCTAGACTGCTCTATCTCACTCGGTGCCCTTCCAAAACTTGCTCTCAACAGAACAAATATCTCTGCAAGCTGGTGAGGATGACCTCCCTCACAGAGTGCTTCAGTATCCCCGCTGCTGTGACTGATGAATGCCAGGTCACCTCGTCAATAAACCTCGTTCTACAACTTTCCTTATTGGTGTTATGGAGCGTGTCGCCATCCTCACGGACCTCAACGACCATCCCAGCCGCCTCTCTAAGCCTCGCCAACGCGATTGTAATTATTGGGCTCTCCTATATCGAGGACCGCAAGTCAACGAGGCCCTCTTCCCTCCTGACCATTTACCTACTGCTATCAATATTATTCGATGCAATACAGGTTCGTACATCATGGCTGACGCATCAAATCCCCATGGCAGCGGTCCAGAGCGCCATTACCGGGACAAAACTCGCCATGTTACTGTTGGAGATGCGAGAGAAGACCTCTTATCTCCAGCCCCCGTACAGGAACTATCCCCCGGAGGCAACTAGCGGCATCGTTAATCTCAGCTTTGTCTGGTGGATAAATCGGCTTTTCATGACAGGGTACCGAAAGCTCATGGGGAATCGAGACCTTTATGATCTTGAGCCTGGGCTTGCCTCTGGCCCTGCGGGCGAACGACTGAAGAGAATGTGGGAGAAACACGGTCTGTTCACCTTCATTACTGGTTGCAACCGTCGCTTGTGCAATACATTGACAAGTTCCAGGGGGCGCAAAAAGCAAGCTCACGCTACCTTGGGTCTTTGTCCGCTGTTTCTGGATGGAGTTTCTTGCCGTAATGTGGCCTCGAGTGTGCTTGATTGGATTCAGCTTCGCTCAGCCTTTTCTGATTATGGCGGCAGTCCAGCATATAGAGCGACCGGTGACTACAGAGACCCGGGATCATGGCTATGGCCTCATTGGGGCCACCTTCCTGGTTTATCTGGGTATCGCGGTAGGCCCCTATATTGTGCTATATGTACAGGTCATCTCTGATTGCAATCGTAGTTCTCGAATGTCCACTATAGACAGCGCTTCTCGCGGGTATCCACGTTATTCCGGGGCGCAATGATTGCGTTAATTCATGACCGGACATTAGCACTCCAGGATGGTCTCTACACAGAAAGTGCCGCACTCACTTTGATGAGTACTGGTGAGTAAATCAGTGCACTCCTATGTCCCGACAAAATGGGCAGTTGCTTACCTAGAAATGGCCTTGGATAGATGTTGATGGCATCATTGAACATTTGGAGAACATGAATGACGTCTGGGCCCGCACGGTAGAAATGACTATTGGCATAACTTTGCTTGGTATCCAACTCGGGGCGACTTGCATCGTTCCATTACTCCTTACACTGGGTCAGTCACAGATGGAGTATACACCATCAAGGAAGCAACATAGTACTTACCCTCCTGTCTAGCATGCCTAGTTGGCCAGAAGTTGGTGGCAAATTCCATTGGAAACGACCAACAGAACTGGAACCTGGAGATTCAGAAGAGGGTCAAGAATACCTCAGCCGTCCTGGGTACCATGAAGGCAATCAAGGTCTCGGGCTTTCGAAAGCGCTGGCCCAAAACCTGCAAGAGCACCGTGAACGGGAGCTTTTTGTATCTCGAGCATTTTTCAAAGGAATAATGTGGCTCAACGGTTTAGGTATGTTGATCCCCGTTTGTACGGGTTGCTGATCTGACAGTAGCAGCAACTTTGCCCCGAATATGGTCCCCCGTCATCACCTTCACCGTCTATGCGATTCAAGCACGGATCCGAGGTGACGACTCTCTAACTACGGCGAGAGCATTTACCGCGCTAAGTATCATCACTCTTGTTACAACGCCTGCAGAAAAGCTCCTCGCCGTTTTACCACAGCTAGCGGCAGCCATGGGATGCTTTCAGCGCATTCACGAGTACATAATATCCGACCCAGTCAAGGACGGTAGATTAGGACGTACTGAGGTCCTAACGTTAAATTCAGCGATCTCTTCGGCCAACGCAAATGAAAAAGGATTCACACCGCGAACTGACGATGAAGAGCAAGGAATTGCTATCGAATTGGACAACGTCACAGTGCTGCCTTCACCGAAAGCAATATCTGTCGCCCTGAAACATGTGTCTTTCAAAGTAAGGAAGGGGAGTCTACTAGTAGTAACCGGTTCTATCGGTTCAGGAAAGACAACTCTACTCAAGACTATCCTAGGAGAACTTGGCTGTCAGTCAGGGACTGTCGGTGTCGGATCGAAGCGTATCTCCTATTGCAGCCAGAATCCCTGGTTGCTGAATACAACAGTCAAGAAAAGCATCACTGGTCTCGCAGATCACAAAGTGGATGAGAAGTGGTATCAAACCGTCATACGTTCATGCTGCTTAGAGGAGGACATTCGTCGCTGGCCCAACGGAGATCAGAGTAAAGTCGGAAGCAAAGGCCTTACTTTATCAGGTGGACAAAAGCAAAGGGTGGTATGCTATAAAGGTCTCGTTTTGTTTTACTTGTTTTCCACGCTAATTGTGTAGGCATTGGCTCGTGCGGTATACAGTCGCCAGGAAATAGCTTTGCTAGATGACACCTTATCCGCCTTGGACATGCACACCCAGGAGATGATCATTGCACGAATCCTTTCAAATGAGGGGATATTTCGACAACTGGGAACCACAGTGGTCCTAACAACCCACAACCGTAAGCTCTTCTGTCTACTTCTGTGCTTTGTCCAAGATTTCTAAGCCTTGACGTGTTTCTAGCCCAACTGCTTAAGGTGGCAGACAGTGCATTATCACTTAGTGCAGATGGGCAGGTCGAGCTTCAGATGACGGGCAGGGATGCCATTCAATACGGAGCTATTATTCGTGGAAAAGAAGATACGGATGTTGGAGAGGGCCATCTACATGAAAAGACCTGGGATAAGGCAGCCGGCTCGTCAAACGATCCTGCGAATGAGGTGGAAGATGATGACCGAACCAGACAAACTGGTGATTTATCGGTGTACTACTACTACGCACGAATTGTTGGTCCATTTCTCTGTACCGTGTTTCTCCTTGCCCATGCCTTGCTAGCCTTCGCCGAGAACTTTCCGCGAGTATGGCTAAGCAGGTGGACCGAGGCAGGCGGCAGCCAACTTCCATTATACCTATCCGTCTATATTGTTTTGGCCCTAGCAGCATCAGTGCTTGTCTTAGGCTGCATCTGGGTCATTTTCCTTAACCTGATGCCGAAGTCGGCTATCCGTTTGCATTGGCGCCTGCTGACCGCCGTCGTTCGAGCACCTTTATCCTACTTCTCCACGACGGATAGTGGAGTGACACTCAACCGTTTCAGCCAGGACATGACATTGGTAGATCTGGCATTGCCTATATCTCTAATGTCTTTGGGACAGTCGTTTTTCGGATGCATCGCCACCGTGGGCTTGATCGCAACAGGCTCAGCATACATGGCCATCACGATACCTGTGACACTGGTGGTGCTGTATTTATTGCAGAAGATATACCTTAAGACCAGTAGACAGCTACGATACCTCGACCTGGAGTGCCGAAGTCCCCTGTATTCCCACTTTGTCGAGGTTCTCGATGGACTGCCCACGATCCGGGCGTTTGGTTGGCAGGTCGCATCGACTGAGGTTCTGATTCAGCATCTGGACCAGTCCCAAAAGCCATACTACATGCTTTTATGCGCGCAGAGGTGGTTGAACCTGGTCCTGGATATTGTGGTGATGGCATTAGCGACCATTGTGGTAACACTAGCCGTGGAGTTACATGAGAGCACCAATGCAGGCCTTCTCGGCGTTGCCTTGAACAATATTCTGGGGTTCAATCAGCTCCTATCGTTCTTCATTACGTCGTGGACTACCTTTGAAACCTCTCTCGGAGCAATTGCCCGCGTCAAGTCCTTTGTAGAGACCACGCCGTCTGAGTTTCGGCCTGGTCAAATTTCAGAACCACCAATGTCCTGGCCTGAGCAGGGAGCAATCCACATCCAGGGCCTCTCTCTTTCCTACCCCAATGGGACATCAGCGCTGCATGATATTTCGATGTGCATCACACCAGGGGAGAGAATTGGTGTCTGTGGCCGTACAGGCAGGTATGTCTCCCCATACATAATCTTCAATTCTATTACTACCCTAACGCCGTATCCTACTCTAGCGGTAAAACTTCTTTCATACTCGCTTTACTTCGCCTTGTAAACCCATCACACGGCACGATCACCATTGACGGGGTTAACATCGAAAGCGTCTCCCCAGCAGCAATCCGCGAGGCACTAATAGCCGTCCCACAAGACCCATTCACGCTTCTAGGCTCCGTGCGGTACAACACGGACATCATGGGCGTTTCCAACGACGAAGACATCACATCTGTATTAACGCAAGTAGGCATCTGGGAGGCCATTGAAGCCCGAGGAGGTCTGGATGCCATCCTGGAGGATCACCCATTGTCTCAAGGAGAACAGCAGTTATTCTGCCTAGCACGGGCCATTCTCAAGAAACGAACCTGCCAAAGTGGATATCAGGTGCTGATCTTGGATGAGGCCACCAGCAACCTTGATAGCGAGATGGATCGTCGCACCCAGCAGGTACTAAAGGCTGCCTTTGACGGCTGTACGGTTATCAGTGTAGCTCACAGGGTATGCTCTCCTTTCTTTTGGGTTCAGTAGTAACCTACTATTGATTTCATCATCATCAATCATTCATCTATTACGAGCTAATGAACTCGAGTAGCTGGACACAATTATCGATTTCGACAGAATCGCCGTCCTAGACGCGGGACGTCTGGTTGAGTTTGACAAACCACAGCGCCTTCTCGCCAAAGATGGGCTTTTCCGAAGGATGGTCTCAGCATTCGAGGAACAGGGGTTGGATGGATTATAAGAAAGACTTGGCGGACGAGATATCCCGCATCTAAACCTCATACCAAATCAAGAAGAAGTTATTGTACTGGTCAATCTGTCTCAATATTCTCTTCTTTGCAGGGCCAAGCAAAGCTTATATGTATCTATTCCAGAGTCCTCGGGTCAAATATGATAGGTCATTGCGCGATCTTTGCACGTTGGCTTATTAGCGGGTCCATCTGTCTGCATATGCATGTACTCTGTTCAGTGTAGAGAGTTTATGCTATGCATAAGAGTGGTGGGTGTCGTGTCGTTGTTTCATGTTGTAGATGGACTGTTGAATATTGTATACATTCTGTATTTGATACTGGTATATTATGGTTCATATTGCATGTTCTAATGCTATCGAATGCATCTACATAAGCGAATTTCAAAGAATGCCATCCTCTCGGGCCAAAATATAATATTATGGGAGGAGTGACATCGGGTCTATATACAAACATGGAGGTGATTTTTCCCAACCAAGGCTGCACCCTGCAGCAACAAGGACTCCTCATGCCGTTCGACATAACACGCTAAATTAAAAGATGATATCAAGATCGTGATGACAGATGAAGAGAAGAAAAGAGACCTTCAAGGCTAAATCAAAGGGCGAGATGAGAACATGGCATGCCGGCGTTCGTTCAACACCAGGTGAAAACTGGATTCTTGCTCTTCACAGCTTCCAATCGCTCAACGATCACTTTGCGCTGATTGCCCTCCATTCCTTCCGCGGCGGCATATCCAAGATCTCCTTCGAGATCGTCACTACTCCAGATCAGCTGCGCTTGACCACGCCCACTGGATATCGAACTGTGCTTTTGATGCTTATTTCCGGGCCGCGGAGGAAGCGAAGGCCAGCTTTGGTCCACGCTTCGCTCATGAAGCATGCTATCAATGCCATCCTGACTGACCCTGTAGTCGCCAATAGTGGCAGGACTGCCGTTCGGTATTCTTCGTGTACTAGGCTCGTGGGATCGGCCACGTGACAACTCAAACCGGTTGGGGTTAGGCAGCTCATTCGGTGACGATCCAAGGCCCAGAAGATCATTCTCGGGACCAGTCCCCAGCGACATGGATGCACCAATATCCATCTCTTCGTGGTCAGGGTCATAGTCGTAGTTCTCGTAGCTCTTCACCTTACGTTTTTGGGCTTCTGTCGATGGCCCACGAAGGGGAATAGCAACAGGAACGTCCACCAGATCGTCCCAGACGCACACCCGGGTTCGTCGTGTGAGCTCTAGAGGTCCATGGTCAGGCTGCTTCAACGTCTCCACAACGTTCCAAGCCTGTCCCTTCATGACTGCGATCTGTCTCGCAAACATGCTCTCCTTGAAGTCATCGTCCTGCGAAAATACGCGTCGCAGTGCCATCTGCGTACCGCTCCACCAGGCTGTTGAGGTCAAGAGAGGTAAGAAATGGTCCCGAGTCTTCTGAGAAAAGGGTTGCCCAATCAAAGAAACCGGAAGGAATAGCCAGCCGAATGGAAAGCTTCGCCACTAGATGGTGTGAGAAGTTTGTTGCGAACAGGTCAAAGAACAATCTACTTACAGCATCAGGATGTTTCCATGGCCAGGACAAACTGTTATCGATAGCTCCGATCTGGATAGACGCTTGGGGCTCCGACGAGTTCAGAGGAGTGCCAGTGCGACTCACTGCCACCATCGCCTCGCGTCGCCTGTAGGGAAGAGGGGCAGAGGCTGTGCGCTCCGAATTGACGGAAACGGGGCGAGCGGGAGGTAGATGGTCGTCGTCGTCGTCCTGCTGAGTTCCGTTGGGTTTAGGTGGATCGGCAACAATAGACACTTCTTCGGTGTTCCAATCGATTTTGATCATCCAGTTATCCAACCCACGGTCAGTATTGCGCATAATATAATCCAAAATCACCAACTTTTCCAATTCCTCGCGGAATGACTGCTTGAGGCCCTCGGTCCAGTAGAACCGCCGTTCCCTACTCTCCTCCCTTGGTGATGGGGTTTGTATATCTCCATTTTCATAATCATCCTCATCTTCATCATCCGACTGCATTCCAGAAGGACGGCAAGCCTCGTTCCAAGGCCGCTTTTTGCGCTTTGGGGCATCTTCCGCGCGAAAGCCAGTATTGGTCTGGTCTGGCCAGGGATGGTCTCGTAGAAAGAGATTCGCATCCTTGTAGCCCTTAAGAAAGACCTGAAAGCTACCGGCCTTAGGGGGAAGGGGTCGCTTGCCCATCCATGCCTTTCTCCGGTCCCAGAAATCGTAGTAAAATGATTTTGAGGATAGCCACACAATATCGGTGTAGGGGACGAGATTCGTGCGCAGACGAGAGTCGAGGACATAAGCGGCTGCTTCCGAGACATAAGATAAGTTGGGAATCAGGCAGGCACGACCAAAGAAGCATGGGAACAGGTTTCGATGGATCCATTTCGTCCACTTGGGATTGCGGGACGCGTAAGGCTCCTCGTCTTTGGGCTTAAAAACCCCCACGACTTTACCTTCGCCGTTGCGCGCAAAATAACTACCGGAGCTCCCCTGAGAGATCATCCGGGGGTGCATTCCCATCCGTATCGCTGAGTGGACACTCTCTACAACGTCCTCAAACTCCGCCCGAGCCCTTCGCGCCGCGCCTTCAATTTCATCCGACTCAAGCTCTTCGGCGGAGATCGGTCTAACACCATTCGGGGGTTGGAATACAGAGTGGTAAATCTCAAGCTTTTCTTCTTCCAAAGTCTTCCCCTTGACTTTGTTGATCTTGAACTTGGAGGCGATCTCTTCGGCCCACCGCTCGAGGCGCGCATTGATGGCCTTGATATCTACCCCAGAATTCCGTCGGCCTCGACGATGGTAGCCACTCGGTCTCCGATGATGGCCTGGGGGGGAAGACAAAACGGACGCATCCAGTTGCGCGCGGGAGGAAATGGGGGCATATCGGGGAGCGGAGTGGGAAATTGGGCCGAGGGAGTCGTGTAGGTCATCGTCATCGGAATAATCATACAAGTCATTGGTTCTATCTTCTTCCTCCTGGGCCAGACGGGCGTAACCCGAGGTCGCAGGTCGGTTCTTCGGCATAGTGTATCTGTGGTCTAATGGAAGGGCCGGGAGGCGAACGCAGGTCGTTGCATCTGAGGGAGTGGCAGGGAATGGAAGGAGGAAGCGAGAGAAGAACTAAAAGAGGGAAAAGAAGAAGAAGAACGAATCGAATCACGGCATTACTCAATAACGGCAGAGAGATTGCAAGTAAGAGAAAGGGTTTCCCTCTGGGGAGCAAAAGAGGGAGGAATTGTAGATTAGGTGGTGAGAGAAGGGAACTTACTTGATCCCTCCAATAAGACCGCCGCCGTCATCCACCGAGAACTCGAACGGCCAACTCACAGAAGTGGCTCTTTACTGTACCGTACCGCGAAGTCCCGTGGCATGGGGCCCAGAGGCGAATAGCTAGTCTAGATTCAGCCACAGGGCGGGTACTTTACCGTACCGCACCGCCACAGCCCTGTCCCGTGTGGCTCCACCGGAGCTTAAAAAAGCCCCTGAATTTTAGAGGATCAACTTGCCTTCATACTCATTTCGTTGCCTATCTTCGGCCGGAGAATGCGCAGCAGGGCGATCCGAGATGGCCGGCCGTGTTCAGTTGCTCAAGGCCCAGGATTCGACCCAACTAGTCAACATACATTGTGTACTGCGCAGTATACCACCCTATTTGCCATTGAGCCGGTAGATCTGCTTGTATACAACTTGGGAACATGGCAAATCGCATATATCAAGTATGAACCGAAAGAATTTCTGTTCTAGAAAGTAGTAACAAGTTGGACAGATCCCATCCAAGGGACAAGTCATGTCTGAAATCACCTGAAGAACTGAGCCAACGACAGGCATGTGGGCTCCGTAATTGATATATGATCAATGTGAGACTGAGCACGGTTATTACCTGCATTGGTGGCCACCACGGTCCATGTCTCGGTTCTTTCCCTTTCTCTGAAATGGCATTGGTATTAAGACGATCAATATATTCATCTATCTCTCCTACGAGAAACGGGTCAAGGATCGGATCGGTGTCACGATCTAGCTCATGATAGTAAAGCGCCTTTAAGACCTGAAGACCATCTACCATCCCTAGTGTTATCGAACTGAGGTAGTGACGGTCTTTTATTGATTGCTATGCCAATACTACTATCCTCTCATGCCAACATGAGCCCGCCTAGCAATCACTCAAAATTAAATTCTGCTGCTTCATCAAATCTCATCTGAACCCCCAAGAGCTGGATAAGAAAGGGGGATGCAGGGGCGAGATGCGACTATCGCGTGGATTGTCATTTCATTCATTCCTAGCCCTGCGTGTTGCATACATAGTCACATAAATCCTGGAGGCAGGAAGGAGTTAATAGGCACAAAGCACCGGCAGGAGCTTCATAATAGCGCAAATAGCCATGCAGCGAACGACACTAACATAGTAAATTATTGAAAATAGCGTTAAACCGAAGTGAATAAATACAACCACCAGCAGGGTCCAACCGATTTATATTATTACGTTTTATTAATCACCCCAGCCAAGCATTGCTGTTGTTCCCGCCGATAAATAACAATCGATAGTGTCCGAGGGACGCGCGATAGCGATTCCGATAATCAATCAATCTTTCTCCAGAACCTCTTCTAACTTTCTCTCCGTCTCGTGTAACGAACTTCTTGGCCACGACTGGACTTCTCTGTCCGAGGAATTAAAGAGGTATGCTCTTCCTAACATTTGCTATCTGGTTGGCTCGCTATATCTTCCAATCAATCTAAATCAATTACTCCTCTTCGTCGTCGTTCCCTCCCGGTGTCTATCCAGTCGAATTCTCCCTATCTCCTCCGTTCAGACCTTTTCCTTCCCATTGACTTCTTCGGCTCTGACGTCCCAACGCTAAGGATAGGAAAGGAAATATTTACTACCGTATACTTTACACACGGACAGTCTGTTTTGGGGTAGAAAAAATTGGGAACATTCCATATCTTTCCTCCCTTTTTCTACGCGGCTGGTCCTTCCGAACGGCACCGATTTCCCTTTCAGTTGTATACGACAACGACAACAGTCACGGACTGCTCCCAATTCGGTCAATCCAGGCCGGATTTTTAGCAGGTTCTTCTCGACACCATCCACAGTGGCTTCACTCTTGTTCCGGGCGTCGCCCATCGACCCAGCCCTGCGTCCTACCTCGCCATCGGCCTCACAGTCTCACGATCTCAAGTACAACAACACTACGTCTTCAATTGACAGTCCGTCCACCTCTCGTCAGTCGACAACGGACGCGGTAGCGAGTGCATCGACGGCATCGTCGCAGTACTTTGGAGCGCTTCCTGAGTTTGGTTCTCTGGACAAAAGCCCTGGTAGTAGCGACAGCAACGGTAGCAGCTTTCCCGGTTCCCTAGGCCCATCGCTGTCAGGACTGTCTGCTCTGGCCTCGGTCGCATCGGCCCCAACTTCCAATCTGCGGTATGTACTTGGACTGGTGTCATATGCTGCTCTCGCGTTACGCCCATGGCGAAGGCGACTCTGGTAGCTTTGAAATATCTGCTATCTTACGTTTCTATCTTACGAACACTATGGTCCAGCGTTAAGAATCCCTGGGTGACTGACAAGATTTTCTCTACGCGAACAGGAATTCTGGGGGGAATGCGCAGCCCATGACCAATATGACTTACGCGACATCATCACCTGCAGCAACTACTGGTGGACAAGGCAATAGCCCTGTAAGTAGAGTGAGCGTGTTGAGCATTTGTCTTATCGTATCTGTGTTGGCGCTTATCAAGATGCAACCCCATTTTTTTGGTTTTTTTTTTTTTTTTTCATTTTATTTTATTTTTTCCTGGGGGAACTTGGAAAGGCCTTCCCAATCTGTTATCAGCAGCCGATGGGGTCTTGGCACCGCACCACCCGCTGCGTGTCAAGTCTTATCGCGCCAGCCCGTCAAATCTCTCCCGATCTTATCAACCGTCGCTCTTTTCCCTCTATTCCACTATCAGCGCCATACCTCATCCACCCCATTGGCTTCCACCCTCCATTCTCGATCCCCTCATCTTTTTCTACAATGGCGACGACCTTGACTGACCAGAAGCGCCCTCAATTACAGCCCGTGTGCCAGAATTGTGGTACCTCCACCACGCCCTTGTGGCGCCGGGATGAACTCGGTTCGGTCCTCTGCAACGCCTGTGGCTTATTCCTGAAGCTCCACGGAAGACCCCGTCCGATAAGCTTGAAAACCGATGTGATCAAAAGTCGCAATAGGGTCAAGACCGCGGGTCAGGGCCCTAAGCGTAAGGTGAGCAGGAAACCCCCGAAAATTTTTCTATTCATGATTGTTGCTCCGCCGTACCTCAAAACCTAAAAGGGTCCAAGACGCTGATATGCAATCGCCTTAAATAGTCCAGCAGTGCCGTTGATGCAAATGGACTCTCCACGTCCAGATCAGAGGCCGGTACTCCCCCACTTGGATCTCATGGATATCGTCGCGCGTCGCGGAAGATGTCACCCGGCCATTCGGATCGCTCAAACTCACCAGTCTCCCGAACAGAAACGCCTGGTCTTCCCCCGATGCAGCAGCAGCAGCTCCCACTGCAGCATAACTCTAACATCGCGCCGCAGCACATGTTCGACAGCGTTACCCTGGGAGATCACGGCCTGACGAATGGGCTGTCGTCTGGGCAACTTCGCCAGCAGTCCCCCACCTCGACCTCTGCGGCCGTGGACCGCCATAACGAGTCTCCTCAAACGATCGAGGGGCTCTTGGCCGCAAACACATCGTTGAAGACCCGCGTGCGAGAATTGGAGTTTGTCAATGACCTTTTTAGGGGCCGAGTAACGGAACTCGAACAGAGCGACGCTGCTGCGCGTCGGTCCGAGATGATCGCCCGCGACTCGGAATCGCGCCTTAAACGAGCCCTCGAGGAAGCGCAACGGCGCGAAGAAGATCTTAAGCGTCGGGTGTCTGAACTGGAACGTCATGTCGGTGAAGCCAGTAATAGCAACCCCGAAGGAGATGAAAGCCCTGGTGAGCCCATGGCGAAACGAATGAGGCTGTCTGATGTGGTAGATCAACCCTCCACTTCTCCTACCAGATCGCCAAAGAGCGTCTAACCACAGGGATCACAGGGATCGAACGACGGTTCGTGAATCTCATCGGCCCCCCTCGATTCGGGCGAAAACGAAGTGCAACCGCTTTGCTGAGTTCTCTGATCTACCTTGGTCTTTTTGATACCCTTTACGTGTCTTGTCATTTGGCTGGATGTATATCGGATTAAAACTAATAACTCTCCCTTTCAATACTTCAATTCTTTCTTCATTCGTTTCTCTATTTCACATCTTTATTGCTCTTGGATTATCGAGCACTTTGGATTCCGGTACGGGACGGAGGGGATCACTTTGGGACAGCAAACCGCGGAATCGCGAAAACGTTCAGATGAAGGAAAGGAAATTGCAAAACCAAAGCGGGGGGCGGCCTTGTTCAGTTATTTTGTGTTCATTATTCCCAATTGTTTTGTTTCTTTTACCGCCTAGCTTTGGCCTCGGATCGTCGAAGACCAGGATGACGATAGGATTGCAAGCCGGACTGCAGTGGTTACGTGGTAATTGACTGAATTCTTATCTATCGGAGAGAGCGTCAGGATCTGGCAACCCAGCAGGAAATGACCCGTGTTGAAAAACTTTGATATCTTGTTGTTCTAAAATGCGTTCCATTCTATTCTACCGTGTTATTTTTAGCTAGTCTTTTTTTTTTCTTGATGTGACTCTATAATGTGTACGGTATGATGTGTGAATGCCCGATTCGGCCATTTATCGTTGTCTGTCTTATCTTATCTTTGCCTGTTTTATCTATTATCTTCTCCCAATGGTTTCGCGCCGGTTTCGGTTATCTTACCTCGGCTATTGCGGATGGCGCTCGGATATTGCTCACTTGCTACTGGTACTACTGACTAATGTGGGTAGGTAGTGCAAGTGAACATGTATGATTTTGGATGTTTTGACTATATACAAGGCATTGCCCCCTGGTTGGTGTGAAGGAGCGTGGAATGATCAAGGGAAATGCAGAATGAATACTCAAGGACAAAAAGTTAGGCCGCCCAAAAATTATCATCCGTCTATACTTCTCCCAGTAATGACATATGAGATGAGTTATCAACGTAGTCGCAGATACCGCTCAAACTTGGGTATATAGCTAATAAGAACATGTAAAAAATGGCGTTTCAGCCAGGCAATGTTGAAAGATGGGGAGACGCCCATTAAGGAGCGGGCGGCACATATATATCCCTTCTCGTCTTAAGCAAGACGGTCGTGTTCGATCTTCTTGCGGATCGCGCCGTGGACCCGCCTCTCGCGCAGGATACTCCACAAGCATACTATGACCCCAGCTACTCCCGAGAAGAATGTGGTATAGTATGCCGTCCGGTAGCAGCCCAGGCCATCGGGGCAGTCCCGGTCTCCGTCTGGACCGACAACGGAGTGTCGGTCGTAAATGCTGCCGTACAGCAAGTTAAAGACGTTCCCGCTCAGAACGGGGGCGAGGGTCATCACGCCCCAGTTTTGGGAGAGGCCTCCGATACCGAAGGTGTGAGCTACCAGAGAGGGGAAAACACCGAAAAGGAAGCCATATGCGATCCCCGTAAATCCTGATACGACGATCAACTGGTGTGGGTTGGATATCGCAGCTCCTGCTAGTTGGGTCACGGTGAATACAACCGCGGAGATAAATAAGCACCAGAATCGTGACATGTCGAGCTTCTTGACTAGTAGATCTGATCCAATTCCTAAAGTGACAACTGTTAGCTAGAAAATGTATGGACTCGGGATGTCGTGATGGCACGTACCACTGGACAGCCTGCCGATGAAATTGCCAAATGACAGGACGGACACATGCATGACCTGTCTCTGCTGGATGAATCTAGAGCTAGCACTGTCGTCGTAGTATTTCCACAATGCTTTGGCCTGCGGGGGTTAGTATATAGATGAACATTCCTGTAACATGGGTGTCTTACGCTGTTGCCAATGTTGCTATGATCATTGTTAGTATCTTCGTTTGTAAGTGGAGTAAAGTGAGATAGAGTTAAAACATACTTGATTGTCATCAAACCGATTCCAGAAAGGAGAGCCATCGTCAAGAAAAGCTGCCAGAACTCTACTTTGGGCAGCATCGCCAAGCCTCTAATGTCTGGGTGAGGTGAGCCGACGCCATCTACGAGAGCATCATCTTCCTCCTCCTGGTCAACCTCCCGAGATTGTCTTGGGGTGCTTTTGGATACCAACGATGACGTTTCATCCAAGTCGGGATTGTGGCTAGGATGGTGGGAGTTGTTCGACGCGCCAGATTGCGACCTTACATGCATGGGGGAGTGGGATTCAAAAGCTGTAGAACTCTGCATACCTGCTTCATCAGACTCTTCTGGGACATAACGCAAATCAGAGGACTTCGTCCTATGGAGTTGGGTCGACTCTACTCCTGGCGATCGATCCCGTGATAACGGCATGTACGCTTTAGCTGGGGGCATGAGCCGAAGGAGGGGAATGGAGACGAGGTTGAAGACAAATGTCCCCAGTGCCAGCAGAAGAAGAAACCGGCCCGTGTCATCCTTGAAAATGAGAGATGAGACGCTAGACCAAAAAAAGGCGCTCAGTCCGAAGGCTGCCAGGGGGAATGCGGTCGCTGTGCCCCGATGATCGGGAAAGTTCGTTGCAGCTAAAGTTGACGGGTGTTAGTTCCGAACGTTCGTAAGGCAGAGATCAACACACCTGTCTTAATTGAAGCCGAGAAGGCGGAGCAACTTCCGAGGCCAGTAAGGAATGAGAAAAAGGACAACACGCCAACACTGAGCGAACCCTTTCCGTGCTCATAGGCTATAGTTATCGAACATAATCAGTACAAACATCAATAAGCGCCAGTGACAATCAGACAGACAAACCTATATATATCGGATAATAGCCTATACCAAGGGCCACAGCACCAATAAACGTCGTGAGTCGTGGACCTCGAGCATCAGTTAACAACCCCAATGGAACTCCCGATGCATACATCCCCAGATTTCCAGCCGCGCCCTGTGAGACATCAGCACGATATGCATCGGCTTTTCCGAGGGAAACAAGACAGCTTACAATGAAGTTGCTCCCGGTCGACGAGATCTTCATTCGTTCCGCAAATTGAGGCGCCCATGCCGAGTACGCATACTGCAGTCAATCAGTACAATTTGTTTCCCGGTAGATGATCGAGGCCGTGAGTATAGTTCAGAAGGAGGGAGTTGGGCGCAGGAATAAGCATCACGGCAATCATACATTGGTCCCACAAGCCAGGGCTACTAGTGTGCCCGCAACCACGGATATAATGCGCTTGGTTTTATGTGTTGACTCGGTCATGGTGAATGGTGACGGTGCCGGTGCCGTAGTACCGAATTGTAAAGTGAAGGGCTATAGTATTCCTCCCGGCGCATACACTGCGTGGGGAAGCAATTGAATTGAACTTGGGGCAGCGGGGAGTTGTCAAATAAATGCCGATTCCTGTCGGCGAATGGGCAAGATAAAGCTTATCAGCGTCACAGACGTCAGGATGGTATAAGAGAAGGAATCGAATCAATCCAACGAACGAATGCAAGGGGTGGTACGGATACTAAATACGAGCAGTGGGAGAGAAGTTTACAACCCAACGAGTGTAGAGAAGAATAAGATTATAAAAAAAAAAAAAGAAAATTGAAACTAAAAAAAAAAAAAAGAGGGGGAGGTAAATTGAACAGGAAGAAAAAAAAGCACGCGACGACAGAAGCCAAAGTGGCCGTTGGACTCGTAATCTCTCCCGAACTAAATCGCCCTTGACCCCAGAATGTATTCGGAGGTACCACCCAGTATACGTACAGGTACACAAGTACCGTCAGGTACAGTACTTGAAGTACCAGCGTTATCGGCCTGGATAAAGTTAACACCCCCCGTCCTCGCTTATGTAACCGTTATCGGCACATGACGAAGGCGGCGGCGACTCTTCCGGTTGCTTGCCGCCTCCATGGCATCATTCAATCGGTCTACGCAAACTCACCCTCCAGGACTAGTATATAACATTAAACCTTACTACGAAGTATCATCTGGTGAAGTTCACAGTCCCTTTCCTGGGAGGGGACCTTTAACAACATGGGTGCTCTACTTTCTCTGCCACTTTTGGCGGTGCCAAGTGCCGGTACCGTACGTGCATCTCCACTGCGACCTGATCGGATCTCAACTGATATCAACTTAGCTTCTAACGCTTGCAACTTCATGTTGCGGGGCTGCAACTTGCTCGGCAGTATGTAGTGCGTGCGGAAAGTTTCAGAATAGGTAAGTGTTGTTCTTCGCCTACTGAGTACATGAACAGTCGCTGACATCCGGGGCCCCCGGACTGTAGTATGGCTACGAGAATCGCCTACGCCTTCATCCTTCTGATCAATTCAATCGTTTCGTGGATAATGCTCACACCATGGGCACTTAAGAAGCTACAACATCTGACGCTGGACTATATGGAAATCACTTGCGACGGCAAAGAATGCCATGGTTGGGTGGCGGTCCACCGTATTAACTTTGGTCTTGGTCTCTTTCACTTGGTTCTTGCGCTGTTCCTGCTGGGGGTGAGGTCATCTAAAGATGGCCGTGCGGTCCTTCAGAATGGCTTCTGGGGCCCAAAGATCATCCTATGGATCGCCTTCGTGGTCGTGTCATTTTTCATCCCGCAGTCATTCTTCTTCATCTATGGCCGTTACATCGCCTTTATCTGCGCTATGCTATTCCTGTTGCTGGGTCTTATCCTCCTGGTAGATCTGGCGCATTCCTGGGCTGAGATCTGTTTGCAGAAGATTGAGGATAGCAACTCTCGAATCTGGCGCGGGCTGCTCATTGGCTCAACTATTGGCATGTACATCGCATCGATCGTGATGACAGTCCTGATGTATGTTTTCTTCGCCGGCAGTAGATGCACCATGAACCAAGCCGCGATTACGGTAAGTCATTAATCACTGGCCACATTTGTCTTACTGGGGCTCAGGCTGACGGATCAGGTTAACCTCGTTGTTTTCTTGATCATATCCTTCGTGTCCATTCAGCCTATAGTGCAAGAATCCAACCCGCGAGCGGGTCTCGCTCAAGCAGCCATGGTGACCGTCTATTGCACGTATTTGACGATGTCGGCTGTTTCCATGGAACCAGATGACCGCCAGTGCAATCCTCTAGTGCGCGCTCGCGGGACGAGAACGGCCAGCATTGTTTTGGGCGCCATTCTCACCATGGCCACCATCGCATACACGACAACACGTGCAGCCACTCAGGGGCTTGCGTTAGGATCGAAGGGCGGTCACAACTATTCGCCGCTGGGGACGGATGACAACGAACATGGTCTTGTGACACAACAGCCGACCAGTCGTCGCGAGATGCGTGCCGAAGCTCTTCGTGCCGCCGTGGCTAGTGGCAGTTTACCCGCCAGTGCGCTCGACGAAGACAGCGATGATGAATCCGATGACTATAACACTAAAGACGATGAACGAGGGTCGACGCAGTATAACTACTCCTTGTTTCACGTGATCTTCTTCTTGGCTACGACCTGGGTGGCCACGCTTCTCACTCAGAGCTTGGAAACCGACGCCGAGAGTACAGATGACTTTGCTGCTGTGGGGCGGACGTACTGGGCCAGCTGGGTGAAGATTATCAGCGCTTGGGTTTGCTATGCGATCTATCTGTGGACGCTGATTGCCCCGGTGGTCATGCCTGATCGTTTCGGCGTGTATTGAAATTGTTGGACACCGTCACCTTAAATTGTGTTGATTATATATACAGCGGAGTTGGGCGTTCAATAGCAATGAGAGTTATTCCGATGTCCACGGTGCATCTCGCTTCCTGGGCTGTTCTGTAGGTTACTGCATGATATCGTAGTTATTGTGAATGAGACTGTATCTATTTATATTATATGGATGCTACGCTTTTGACAAACCCCGGCAGAATGTAAAACCTAGCCTGAAATGAAAATCCATTTTTCCTCGATGTGCTGCCCGTTCCCCCAACCCTATGAATCTCCGTAATCCGAGCAACTTGAGTATCCATGGCCGTTTTTGCTACATTTACTGAATCTATCATACATACCGTAGAAGGACTGTGAATATCTGGTATGTCGAAAGTAAGAAAAGAGTTAATTTCAAGTCGTACGAGTGACGCGAGTATAAACAGCTAGTTTATGTATGTTGTATTGTAGATGGAGATTAATCTTATCTTGCCCGATGCTTACTGATCGCGGTATCGCGTAAAGTGGCCGACAACCGCGTAAGTCGCGTTCGCATCAACCATCTTCACCATGGGATGAATATGGCGACCATCAAGGCCATCGAGGCCCGTTCGGTACGTACCTATGAATCTTTGAATGAGCCGCCCCTAACTTCGTCGTGTTGCGCTTTTTCAGGTTCATCAAATCCAATCCGGTCAAGTCATCGTCGATCTCTGCTCTGTTGCTAAGGAGTTGGTTGAAAACAGTCTCGATGCCGGTGCCACATCGATCGGTAAACAGGACCCTTGCGCTTTATATAGATCCACATGTGCCAGTATATGGTTTCTATAAAACAGCAAGCTGACCAAGACCAATCTATCCTTCTCGACAGAGGTCCGATTCAAGAACAATGGGCTGGACCTGATTGAGGTGCAAGACAACGGTAGTGGAATATCCCCGGAGAACTACGAGAACGTCGGTAAGCCTTTCTCCAGTCTTCCATATTTTAGTATGGGAAATATCTAACTCTCCATCTCACCAGCACTTAAACACTACACATCGAAGCTTTCTTCCTATGAGGACCTATCCCGGCTACAGACGTTCGGTTTCCGCGGCGAAGCATTATCGTCCCTATGCGCCCTGTCCGAGTTCCATGTTGTCACCGCTCAAGCCAACCAGGCTCCCAAAGCCAACCGTCTTGATTTCGAACCTTCCGGGAAATTGAAGAAGACACAAATTGTCGCGGGTCAGAAGGGCACAACGGTATCAGTGGAGGGATTGTTCAAGAGACTACCCGTGCGGCGCCGCGAGCTAGAAAAGAACATCAAGCGTGAATATGGAAAGGTGTTAAATCTTCTTCATGCGTATGCGTGTGTCAGCACAGGCGTGCGTTTCAGCGTCAAGAACACTGTCGCAAAGACCCGGAATGTCGTGGTCTTCTCCACGAACGGTAATCAGACAACGAAAGAGAACATCGCCAACGTTTACGGTGCGAAGACGTTACTGGCTTTGATTCCGCTCGATCTAACCCTGGAGTTCGAGCCATCTGTGGCTGGAAAGCGAGCCGCTGTGGATGGAGAGCGGGAGTTAAATAAGATCTTCGTTCGGGGGCATGTCTCGAGACCTGTTTTCGGGGAAGGTAGGCAAACACCGGACCGTCAGATGTTCTTTGTCAACTCTCGTCCTTGTGGATTGCCGCAAATCGCCAAGGCGTTCAACGAGGTCTACAAATCTTTCAACGTGTCGCAGTCACCGTTTGTGTTTGCGGACTTTCATATGGATACTAACGCGTACGACGTTAATGTTTCACCCGATAAGCGCACAATTTTACTGCACGATGCGGGAGTTTTGATCGAGTCTCTAAAGACGTCTCTTACGCAGTTGTTTGAATCGTCGGATCAGACAGTTCCTCAATCTCAAGTCAACAATGCTAAGCAGTCAACTACTAAACTACAGCCCGGGAAACTGCAAGACATTCTAACTCGTAAATATTCGTCCGGGGGCGCAGAGGCTGCGGAAGATGAGAGCTCAGAGCTAGATGAAAGTCAAGCTAATGGCAGAAGCAGGCTCAACTCCCAGCATAAGATGAGGAGCTTCTTGAGCGATCTCGGGTCGTCACCTGGTGGTAGAGCGAACATATCCTCGTCTCCCCTTCGTATAGACAAAGAACCTGTGCGTGATACGACATCGTTGCCTCCAAATACGCCTGCTCAACAAAAATCCGACTCATTAGGAGAAGACAATCAACTTTTCGTTACAGATGATGATGTCCAACATGAAGAGCCATCTTCGGGTGCAGACGGGAGCATGCGGCCAGAACGCGCCGCTGATGGAGGTTCGCAGATTACTGATGATGACGATGCTCCACAGAGTAGTGCGCCACCAGATTCGCAGCAGACAATAATGCAGGGGCGAGAACCATCTGAGGAAATACCCAATACTATACAGAATGCGTTCGACCGAATGAGGCCAAGACGGACGCCGGCTGAGTTGGCGACGATCACCATTGGAAACAAGACCGTGACGTCCATAGTAGGAAGTGGTCCCTATCGAAAGCGTGATATTGGCCATGTCGACACTACTAACTCCCCAGCTCGGAAGAGACGTATACATACCCCGTCTCGTCCTAGTATATTTGGGAAGCACATGAGGGGCTTTGCAGCTCCTGGGGCTCAGGTAGAGCACAGCGCGAGCAGCGAGGCCGAGGAGGAAGAGGAAGATTATGACGAGGAAGAGGAAGCTGAGGACGTGGCCGATGAAGAGGAGGAAATCGAAGATGATGAGCCTGAGGACGAATCCCGATCTCCTGTTCCTTCAGATCAAGATAGTGTTCATTCACAAGATGAAGCTCTACCCGAGGCGGAGGTCGAGGATGAACCAGCAATGTCACAGCAAGATGCTCCACCCGTGGTAAAACCCTTAAGCGACGAAGAAAAGAAGAAACACGAAGAAGCCGAAGTTCAGCGGCTGATTCAACAGGCAGAAGAACAGGCTGCCTTGCCACAGGAAAGCAATATCAACCGTGCGAACAAGCTGAATAAGGGCGCTACTCATCGTGATTCCACAGTCAACCTAGTGAGCACCATTGATGGGTCACTTTCTAGGATTCAGCTTCAGGCCGACAAGCTTCAAGAAAACCTTCGCTTTCATGACACGGATGCTGCACATTCTCGGGACGATGAGGCTGAAAATTCGCAAGAGACTGCTGAGGAGCGGTTGTCGTTGACTGTTTCCAAGGACGATTTCGGCAAAATGCGGATTGCTGGGCAGTTCAACCTAGGATTCATTCTAGCCACCCGACCGTCAACCGGTATCTCGGACTCGGCATCACCCAGTTCGAAGGATGAGCTTTTTATCATTGACCAACACGCTTCCGACGAGAAGTTCAACTTTGAGCGACTCCAGGCGGAAACCGTGGTGCAGAATCAACGGCTTGTGCAACCGAAACAGCTGGATCTGACGGCGGTCGAGGAGGAAATCGTGATAGAGAATCAATCGGCGCTGGAGAAGAATGGTTTTGTGGTGGAGATTGATGACAGCGGCAATGAACCGATTGGCCGCCGGTGTAAACTGGTCTCGCTACCACTGAGCAAGGAAGTCGTCTTCGGCGTGCGAGATCTGGAGGAGCTCATCGTCCTGCTTTCTGAGACACCGGCTAGCAGTGCCGCGGGGCCCATGTATGTTCCGCGACCGAGCAAGGTGCGAAAAATGTTCGCCATGCGGGCGTGTCGGTCCAGCATTATGATCGGAAAGAACTTGTCCCAGAAGCAAATGACCCGAGTGGTAAGGAACATGGGCACGATTGACAAACCCTGGAACTGCCCTCACGGTCGACCGACCATGCGACACTTGATGAGCTTGGGACAATGGAACGAGTACGATGAGTTCGACGGCGATGAAGAGAGTGAGTTGGAGGATCGCCGGTCATGGACGGATCCCTTGGCTATCTGGAAGGATTACTCCAACGAGATGACCGGCGAGGGAGAGGAGAGGGAGGGCGGAGATGAAGATGAAGATGAAGCAGATTAACCTTCTGATCCTTTTTTTTTTGGTTACGGGTCTTGTTTATTCATACCGCGATGTATAGAAGCATGAAATTGACTTGGATACTCAAGAGTGCTACTGAGAACCCACTGGCATCTCATCAAATCATCCACCCTAACCCATCGCCCAGAAAGGATCATACTCAACAAGCCATAGAACCATCACCACCACTGGAACCACCCCTTCCCCTTCTTCCCATCCTTATCCCCATGGCCAACCTCCCCCCCAAACCCATTCACCCTCCCATTCCCCTCCAACGCCCCATCCTCCCCGAACCCATTCCCATTTCCATGGTGATGCCTCTCTTCCTCTTCCTCCGCCAACCTCACCGTCTCCTCGACAATCAACAAATCCCGCTCAATCAACTCCGCCCAATTCTGCACGTCCCCGATCTCCTTCAACCCGTCCCTCGCCTGATCCGCCACCTTGGCAAGCTGATCATTCTGCTTGGCGAGCTGCTCCGTGGCCCGCTGCACGTCAGCCTCTTGCTTATCCAGCACGGAGGAGTTCTCGTGGAGGGTGCGGGCTCGGTCACGGAGTGCAGTTTCGTAGTTAGTGCCGACGGAGCGAAGAGAGGCTGTGAAGGCAGTTCTAGCTCGGCGGTGCGTTGTTGGGTTGTTTCCGGGGTGGATGTTTGGGTTGGTTCTGTAGTATTTGATGTGGGTAGCGATGTTGTGGTGGAGGTGGTGGTAGTGGTTGGTGGCGGTGAGGTCGACATGTTGAAGCTGGATTGAGGGTTTGCTTTATGTGGCCCCGAGTATTGGGTCTGTTGTAATGCGTAAGTTGGTATAGAGAATCTAGATCGAGATGGTGTTCTTGGGGGGAAGTGGGAAGTGGGTAGATCGGGGTTTTAGATGCGTTTTATGTATCAATGGAGTTGGTTGGTGACCCCACTAGACGGTTGCGCTAAGAGGTTGTCGTGCAGATGAGCTGCATCTAGTGGAACTGAATCTATTAGATTAGAGCTATACTAGGGTTCAGTATGTGTAGGAGCAGGGTATCAGTACATAAATATATATACTTGATTTATGATATTGGCACATATGTCCACACGCTGAAGCTTCTTCAATCTTGCGGATCGCCTCCAGAGTTCATCTCTGCTCAGTACGTCCCGGCGAAGGTTTCCTACCGTCTGTCGATATCGTTGCTGTCCCGCGGTTGTACAACGCCATGGCTCGCATGATGTGTCTGGATCGCCAGCGATGTTGATAGACGTGGGGGCGGGCTGGAGGGTGACGTTTGTGGGGTTACTGTTGTCGTGAAAGCGCTGGGTATACCACCTATAGCCCTGTGAATTAGGGCTGTCTGACATCTTCATTCATACATGGACGAACGGCTGCGATAGGAGCCAGCCACTCCATGTCCAGCATAGAACAACTATTCTCAGAAAGTAGAACGCCAGTCACCACCTCGACTGCCTGCCATGGTATACTGTACTGACTTCCACCAAGGCAGTATAGCACTAAAGATTCCTCTATTGGTCATTTCCAATGGAATCGAATGATACAACACCAGACAGCTTGGGGACGGGTTCTGATTCCGAAGAAAGCAAAAGGCTGGGTGTTTTGTCGCTTGTTGTGGAAGGATATCTTCGTCAATCAAATTGAGACATGGGGGAGTATGTATCCTGCCTCGTCTCAAGAATTCCAAGCTCCCAGTCAGCGAGACTACGACGGTGGCAGCAGCAATGAGTCCCGACTCTGGATATGAGACCATGTCAATCTCCGAGCTTGTGGTCAAGACAGCCGCGGCCAACGAGGAGAAAGGCTATCATAAATTTATGTTACGGATTCTACTTGACCTGGCCAAGCATGGAATGGCAGCCAAGGAGACAACTCACACAAGGTCCTGAAGTTACTGATTGATGAGATGCAGCAAAGGGAGAGACTCTGCCAACAACCCCATAGAATGAAACTTATATACTAACAAGTCCCGAACACCAACGCCGCCAAGACCCCAAAGAACAAG